CCCCAAAACCCCAAAACCCCGCAAATAAGAAATGCTTAATAATGAGAGATATAAGATTTTAATTTTTAATATTAATGAAATATTATAGGTTATGGTTTCCCTCGAAATTTTAAATTCTTTAGTACTAATAATTGTTTACTTTTCTCTATAATTGAGAATAGGATTTCACTGAAATTAATATTAACAATATAAAATTAGCAAATATAAGCGAATATAGTAATCATAGCAACTCATGAAAGTGAAAATCCATTAATTAAAGAAATAAATAAGTTAAAATAGATAAAACTCTAGAGTCTATGTTCTCAATAATTTCATAATAATGAGATGCAATGAATATATTAAAAATTATTATTACTAATAAGACAAATAATGAGATCGCATATTTTACATATTGCATTTATCTCAATTTTCATGAAACTAATGTAAGTTATGCTAAATTAATCTTTAAAGAATTGCGATGAGTAATTAAGGTGGAACATGCTTTAACTCAGCGCCTACAAATAATTTTCCTTAAATATTAGGGGGAGATGATGACTCAACATCATTTTTTTGCTTAGATTACGACTCCTTAAATAATAATATCATAGTAGGAGGTTATTCTGAATCTAATGATTTAGTCTATGATGATTAGCTCATTCCAATATTACTGAAATTGAGCGACAATTTTGGCTCCGTTTCTTGGAATAAGTAACTAGTTTCTGGAAATTCAAACCTAATGCCTTAGGCATTTTAGATATGCAAAATTTAAGGTAAAATGATCCCTAATTTTAATATTAACTATTATAATAGAAGACACTCAGAAATATGTTATTGCTTTAAGTTCTTAGCCACAATTCGCAATGTTTTTATTCGATTATACAATAGGATCTCTCTTAAAATCATTTTATTTGAACAATATAGCAACAACTTCGATTATAAAGAATATTCAACCAAGCGGTATAATAATGAGAGCTGATAACTCAATTTACATTTGCTTGTCTTAAGGAAACTATGTCTACATAGCATAATTAAGTTATGACGAGACTTCCTTGTAAATGACTGTATCTTACTTTAATTGATTTGGAGATTCCTCAACAAACATGATAAGTGCAGTAGGTGTTTCATTTAATACAAACCAATAATATATGTATATTGGAGGACGCCATTAAAGCTAATTATTAATAGCGAAAATTGATTATTCTTCTGGGAATATATTAATAGCATCTTAGATAACTTAGTCTGGATCATCATAATTGAAACAAATTTCAGCCTTAAGTCTTTACGATAAGGGAACTAGCGATATGAATCAATTAGCTTGCGCAAATTATTTGGGAAATTCTGAATCTGCTTCTGGAATACTATACTTTGACGAAAGTTCAGGGGTTAACTCACTTCTATATGCATGGTATTTTGATTTAAGCTAAACATCTATCTGTCTAGATGTTAAACTAGAATAAACTAAATTCTACTATCTAATGAATCTACCATAGTAGAGTAAAAATTACTTTGGTACTATGGATATCACTTCGACTAGCACTCAAATATCTGTAATGTAAATTAGATTATCCTCTAAGAGTGAATCATTCTATCCATCAAAGGGACTTATCAGCTCAGATGGTTCATTTTATTATGATGTTGGAAATACAACCTATATTAACAATAATAAATATGATAGAGACCTCGGTTATGTAATGAAATATCCAGTAAATTCTGGATGCCTCTAAACCACACCAAGTTCTGTTACTTTATCTGTAACGTACTAAAGTAGTTTCAACTCAGGAATTTTTTCTCAGGCCGTCTCTAAGACATTACCTTCATCTTCTGTAAGTTATGATTTCTAAGCATTGAGCTCTGTCTCAGAATAATCCCTGACATCGTTAAATATTGAAGAATTACCATCAACATGCATGAATTCTATATTCAGTGGTACTATCAGTTTTACAAACATTCCAACTTAAGTTTATTATATCAATGACCCATCTTTAGAATTCATCGTATAAGCGTTTACATATAGTTAAGCATGTAGTGAAACATTAATATGGACCTATTAAGCCACCTTATCAAATGGAAATGCTCTTCCTAGCTTCATTGGCTTTACTGTGAACAATAATTTACCAACATTTACAATTTTTACTGCTGATAGTAGTAAAGTGAAATCCTATGCTATTTTTCTAGTTGGAACACTTCAAGGTACATAGAGTTAAAGATAGAACATTCATGTTTAAATTAAGAAAGCCAGTAATGCTCCTGGAGGAGGAAGTGGTGGTGGTGGAGCATCCTTAGTGGAAAATAATGCACCAATTTATCAATCAGATTTGGTTAAGGTGGTTCAAATTTATTCTGATCAGTCTGAGACAATAAATTTGCCAAATGAATATGATTAGGATGACAATTTGATTACAAGATCTATCTCTATCTAGTTCTGGAATAATATTCCAGATTTTATAGAAGTATAAGAGCATGTAATTAAACTCCATCCTTCATCAAAAGATATCGGCAATTATCTAATGACTATTAAACTAACTGATGATGATTTTTTCAATCCATTGTCGACATCATACGATGTATAAATAGTAATACTTAAAAAAGTTAGTGAAAGTTTATAAAAACCAAAAGTAGATTAAGTTCCGACTGAGACCAATTCTAATAAATCTGGAGTAATAATTAATGATGCTATTAATCTTAAAAATATATCGCTTAAGATATCTAAAATAGGAATGGATTAGACTGTAAAGCTCTAAATCATCGGGAACAAGTCTAAATTTTTAAGTTAATCAGATATAAAAGAACTTATTAGTCGAATTTAGATAGACAATTCTTAAGTGACTGAAGTTTTAAATTGGAAGATTGATAGCTTAATTGGAGATATAGTAAACATAAAATTAATAATGCATGATGCCTCAAGATTTTCTAGACGATAAAATAGTGACTCATTAGTCATTATCTTTAAGAACTAATTGTCTCAATTTAACCAAATCTCAGAGTAATTACCTCAACAGCTAGACTAAAATTAAGTAGCTTATTTCGTTATTAAATAAGCATAGTCAACAGTAAGTTAGGCTATAACTACAGTAATCTATGGAAGTATGAGTGTAAGTATTGTATTAGGTACTAGCTTATAGCTACTATGGGGACTTGTTAATACTCTTTAACTTATATCCCACACTCCGTTGTTCAGTATTTCGTATTCTATTTTGATTCAAGAATCATTAAAAACTATTTTTGCAATAGTAACTTTTGATCCAATTGATAGCCAAATATATCTTGAGAAGATGTTTTATTTAAGTCCATCAGAAACTTTGGAATCATACAATAATAGATTTGATTTTCTTGGGTATGATAATTAGAACTTTATTTATCTAATGGGCCCAGTGATTTTTTTCATTATTGCATATTTAGCTCTCTCTCTTATTTTGATGATTTCATACTTTGGATAGCGATTTAAGTTGTAAGCTTCATTTTTTTAATACGTTTAGGATTTCAAAATTATCTTCAATTCTAAGTGAATACTTATTCTTTTCAACACTTATAAGATTCATGATAGAGATCAGTTTAGAGGGTCTCTTGGCATCTGTTTTAAATCTGATTTAATCCAATAAGGACTTAAAATAAGATTCAGTATCTCTAACTTCAGCAATAATTTTTCTGATTTCAATACTCTTAATTTCAATTTATCTACCAATAATTTTGAGTGGCTACAAAAAATAAGTAACTTAAATGAGAATTAATTAGTACTTAAGAGTGATTTCTGAATCTTTGAAACTTAAAGATTTATGGGGATGCATCTATTTCAGTATATTTCTTTTAAGGAGATTGGCTTTTGTTGGAATTATTTTTATTTTGGAAGATCATCTAGGTATACAAATCATGAGTTTTATATTGCTAAATATATTATATTTGCTGTATTTGATAGTTTGTAAGCCATTGATACACGAATTCTACATTGAATTATTTAATGAAATTTTTACCTTGATACTTAGCTATCTTATGCTAGTTTATTCTGATTTTGTAAATGATTATAAGATTTAAGATGTGATTAGCTATATTTTCCTCTCAATATTTGGGATAAATATAGTTGTTAATCTTGTTGTAGTTATGATTCAAAATCTAAGAAACTTAAGACAAGTTTACCGAAATCATCTTAAGAATAAAAAAACAAAGAAAAACAAATAATAAAGTTTATCTACAGTTTTTCCATCTAATCAAAAGCAGTTAACTGTGGTCAATGAATCAGATGAGCATAATAATAACTCTGATAAAGAGAATGAATAGAATCAGATTGAGAAATCACCAAGAATTGATTTTGGAATTCTTAAATAAACAGTTTCAGAAATGTAAAGACCAGTACATTAATTGAAGTATTTGTAGTTACCTTCAAATAAGAGAAGCTTTTAGTCACTGTAAACTCTTAAATAATCTATGAATTCTATTTAGAAAAGAAATTATGCATTAAAAAACATTAAAAAATATTAGACTTCACTTGAGGATAGTGTTAATAGATATGTACAGCATCATTCACCTTCTTTTCGGCAGTAGATTTAAAACTAAGCTTAGAAAAACAACTTTGTTAACACTAATCCCTCGAATATGTCATTTAGTTCCCAAGCTAATTTAGGAATTATTGGAGGAATACGAGATTCTATAAGAACAAGTGCAGGAATGGATATTTCCATGGAAAGTTAGGAAACTGCGAGAGGTTTTGTACCCAAAAAAAATAAAAATTGAAATTCTATTTCACATAAAACTTATAATGTTTTAGCAAAAATAAATGTAAATATAATTACGATTCGATTTAATTACTGATTAAGTTTAATAACTTTGTTTTTAATTTAAGCTATAAGGGGTTTTGGGGTTTTGGGGTTTTGGGGAGATCGGAAGAGCGTCGTG